AGGCAAACTGGTATATAAATAATCAGTGCACATATTACATATAATAATTTTAATACATATTTTATGTCTGGAAGAATTATAACATCAGTAAGGCAAATAGAAATCTCAGGAGAAAACCTGATTATGAGGGTGAAATAAATTCTAATGTGAACAACCTTCCTTTGAAGTAATAAAAATCTAATCATAACAGTGCTCAGAGTATAGCAATTCCCAGGAAATAATTAACAAAAAATTAACTGGAAATTGAATCATCCGGCGCAAACATTTTTTTTTCCTCCTTCTGGTAGACCAGCAACTTTCTTAAGAAAGTATTGTTTCTACTCCTGCAAGATAATAAATAACTACACATCCTGCAAGAGAGTTAGCATCATAATAATGTGATTAATCCTCCTAACCCTTGTTTATTGTAAGCATCCACTGGTAGACGGATAGCTTCTGCTATGGGACCCCATTGTCTGCCTTGCTCCTCAAGTCAAGCAATAATCAGTCATAAGTAAGTATAAAGCTGGGCAAATCACTGCCCAGAGAAACAAACAACATTCCTCTGAGAGGATCAATAGCAGAAATGAGGCCAGAACTTCATTCTTCAATCTCTCAGTTCAGAGAGCATTACACAAAATGTCATCTCCTCCCCCAGAACAAAACAAAACAATGAGCTATAAATTAATCATAATATATCTGACGCTTATTGGCTGATCTGTGTTTACCTGGTGCTGTGGTAAATACTTTGTAATGCACAGGCTCATTTAACCCTCACAAGAAGCTATGTCAGAGGAGTTATTGTTCTCCTTATAGGGGAGACAAATGAAATTTAACCCGGGTACCTCTGGCACTGGGTCTAGTCTATATACTTCCCCACTGACAAACTGTTTCTGCCGCCATGCTAAGCTAAGCCAGGAAAAAAAAATATGGTGTTGCAGGGAGCATGCTCCATAACTTCAGTATAGAAATTCATATTTCCATTTGACTACAAGGTGAGTGATCCCTTAATCCTGCCAGCGACCCCAAGTTGGTAAGGTGGATTTCAACCTAGGCTTCTTTCTCCCCATTACCTTCTCTAGCACAGGCAGTCAATCACCAACACTACCCATCTGAAATACAGTTTCCCGTACCTTTCCACATCTTTCTACACTTACTATCATTATTGTTCACACAACTTCTGTTTTCCTCCTGATTTATGCAAACATTCTCTAAATGATCTCCTTATAGCTTGTTTTGCCCCCTTGAAACATCCACCAGGAGTAGCCAGAAAGGCTGATATTTTTAAGAAACATGTATGTATTTGCCTACAGTGAGGCACTCTTGCCTATGGGGATCAGACCTATATTTTTCATAAGACTTTAAACCTTTGATTACCTAACCCTATAATTTCCTGTCTACATCAGAAAATATGGACAACACCACAAACATACAATACTACCTCACCTATAGCTCTGTGCATTCCCGATGTTTAGTTCAAACACTCTCTCCTCTGGTTCATTCACTTGCTTTTGCAGCCCTACTTTAGAGGTAACTTCTCAGAAGACTCCTCTGAGTATCCAAAGCAGAGCATAATGTTCACTCACGGACGCTCATCCTCAAGCGTAGCACTTGACACACTGATCTGGAACTGTGTGTTCACCAATTCATGTCCCCCACTACACTGAGAATCACCCTCGGATGCTTCAGAGTGCACAACCCGCATAACCAGGGAGCCACTCCAGTGACAACCCGACTGTAGATGCTAAGGAATGTTTGTGGGGCAAGAGGAGATAGAATGAACATAAAGAGGAAGGGAGAGAAGGAGATGAGAAAGAAGGATAAAAAAAACAAAGGAAAGGAGGTGAGGGAAAGAGGAAGGAGGGAGAAAGAAGCCACAGGATGTGGGGGAGATGTTGAAGACTGGGGTGTGGTAAGGTAGGGCTGAGAAATGAGTCTATGGAATAGAGTGAAGCGAGAGAATATTCACACTAAATTCCCAGTGGAGGTTCTGTTGTTGATGCTATTGTTGTTTTCCCTAAGGAAGCTCTTCATATCTTTGGTCCCTTAATAACTAACCATTGCTCAGGGGTTGCAGACAGTCGGGGCATCCAGATGCTAAAGAGAAAGGTGACAAGAGGGACCACTGAACTTGACTCCATCTTACATTTGAGGAAAGAGAACTGAAGACAAAGTGTGTGATTCGCCTGAGAGAAGGCGGTTAATAGGGGCTAAGAGCTGAGCGAGGACTACAGGCTTGAAAGACCTTTGGCCCCTTCTCCTCAGCACCCAACTCTTCCCAGGAACAATAGACTTAAGGTTACAGTGAGGGCAGGACAGCAGCTCAGCCCATTGTTTAGGGTCCTGCCCACTGTTCTTCCTGGGTGCTGTTCCTTTTGTCCTATTGTTTTTATTGAACACAAAGAACTTCACCCTTCAAGGCAGGTGCATCATAGTAAAACCAAAGAATATCTTTCCTTGTGCCTTTCTTCCTGCCTCTTGCTTTGAGTTATATTCTTTTACAAGCCCAGAGCTATCCCTCATTCTGTATTTTTACCTCACCGGCCTGTCCTCCAAAGCCCGGGCTGCCATTTCTACGCTTTGAAATCGCATCATTTGGAGGCTTATGTTGAGAGCCCATTCTTCCGCAAGACCCATTTCAATATGCCTAATGGGGAAGGACAGCTTGGTCATCTCTGCTCCGATGGTATTCTGCTCATTTACTCCTCAAATGTGAACTGATCTGTGCCATTTGTTATAGTTCATGCTTATCTTTTTTTTCCACCTGCACTCAGCATCCCTTCCTGAAAGGCAAGATGCATTCCTGCCTTATTGTTGCCTCTTTCAGTATCATGGGCACCGCGCCTCTTCATGACATTCAATTTATGTATTTGCCGAGTTGAATTGATCCATAGAACCAATTTTCCAACCCACATGTTTATACTAACAAGGCCATGAGCCAGAATACTTCTTCTGCCGCTTCAAATGTTTTTATCTACATATTTTTATTGCACTTACTTTCTCCCCCCAACAATTGTTTAAAGAAGGTGAAATGTTAGTGTGGACTAGTGGTGATTAAGTAAAAGACAGAGAACAGCCTAAATGGGCCAATGATGATCAGGACCTTCAGATTTTTGCACAAAATATCAAATTTTGTCCCAACCAATTAAAGAAATTACTAGAGAGATTGATGTCTCTTTAAAAATATTGATAGATGGGGACCGTGAAAGAAGAGTGGAGGCTGGGGCAGACAGGGTAGTTTCCACATGCAGCCTCGATGGACAACACACATTTGCCCGAGAGGAAACGGAAAAGACGTTAAGAAATGTCAACTTTTCCAAGGTTAGGATTTACTTAAAGTGAATAATCTGGGCCGCTCATCTCATTCCTTTGAACTGCTAGATGTTCTTGTGCAATGTGAGGGCAAATTGACTAACAAGCTACAGTGAAAGGGAGACGCTGCTTCCACGCCCCTGTTCCTGCCTCCCTCTCAGCAAGCCTGGCTCTTCTCCAGACTCTATTTCTCAACGGAGAAGGTTAGCAACTTTCTCACTCAGAGCAACAAGACTTTCAAACTGCTTCAGAGAATATTTAATCAGTGGCTTTGGATGGGATTTTACATATTTTAAAAACATTTTTTACAACTCAATTTAAAGTATACTCAAGTGCAACGTATTTTTCTATTGATCACCAATGACTGGCAGCCTGAATAATGACAAACTAACAGTTAGATCTACACTTTGCCGTGAGCACTGTCCAAAGGGCACTTTTTTTTCTTCATTACTGCGCAAAAGAACTGCATCCCCAGACTCACTGCAAAGCAGACAACTCAGAGGACTTCAATTTTATAACAGTTTTTGGAAACGTCAACTCTCAGCATTAAGGAGGCATTTATAACTTCATTAGTTTTGAAATGTCACATAGAAATCAGAAGAAATTTAAACACATACACACACAGAGAGAATGGAAAAGATTCCACAATGAAACAGAAAAAAAAATTGTGATATTCACTTCTAACTCCAGCTTAAGAGTCTAATAAACAGAATTCAAATAAAAACATGTCAGCTCCCCGCGGATCTTCCTTAGCCTTCATAGACGTGACACCAGAGCATTGGTGGGTGTAGACCATTCCCCCAGGATACACAGAAAAGAAAAGATGGATTAACCTCTCCCTCTTCTGAGTTCCTCACTCCATAATATTTGTCTGACCTGCATTTTTCTCAGTCCTACCAAGGAAAAGCAGTGAATTTTGAAGATCTGAATTTGTTCAGCTCTGCCTTGCTCATATCCCTACTCTACCACAGTAAACACTTCTGAACTTTGCTTTTTACAATTTTTTTCAGTGAGGGAAAAAAAAATCAAATTCCCAAGGGTAAGTTCACCCAGTTGTCTCACCTTAAGCAGCAGCAGCTGCGATGTAACCATGTTCAAGAGTGGAGTTCTTAAGTCCACAGCTGTTCCTGAACGCTGAGAGGCACTGGGAAGACTTTTCCCCAAGTTTTCTCCTGCTTAAAGTAACTTGTTCCCGTGCTGCATCAACTTAGTGGTTTTAGACACCTTGAGTTTCTTTCCCAAAGAGCTGGGATTACTTTCCCTCTTTCAGAAAGTCTTGCACAAAGTTCACTTGCTCAACAACTCAGATAATTAGGTTTGGAATGTCTCTCACAGGAGTCTGAAATCTGCTATCAAGGTTGACACATTCGTCTTAGCAAAAAAGGCTGGGACTGTCCCAGTGCTCGGCTTGCTATATAAAAAAGGGAGGATCCTGTGGCAGACATTATATAATTATACTTGTGAAAATTGTCCTTAGAAAAATAGATGGATTATTAATTACCTCATCTGTGAAATGGGACAACAGTACTTATGGCATAACCACTTAGTGTTAGGGTTTAAATAAGCTCACAGTGTTAAAATTCATTAAGGATCAGTTTACCCTTGCTGGCTGTCTTTGCTCACATTAATCCTACGACACACACTGGTTTGGGTTTGGCTGTAAGGCTGACAGGAATTTTAGATCAAAACCGAGATTACTGGCTTCTTACCTCTAGAGAGTCATCAGCGTTCACCATCCAACAGTCTGTCCAGGTGGCCACAATCAAAAACCCGGTGGAGAAAAGGGCCAAGAAACAGGCAACATACTCAAGAAGATCCCTCATGGCAGCAAGCAACCCACGAAGAGACACATGGGCAGATGCCCGCCCAGCTGGAATGCTATTGGCTTCTGATGCTATTGGCCTCTGATGCTGGTCCCTGGGGACAAGAGTGCCCAGTCTCACACCCCTCTTGCAGGCACCTTAAACTGCAGAAAGACTTGTACAAACAGGCTGTAATCGAGCGAGGGTCCTGGAGGTCACTATCCAGCAGCCAGGCTCCCAATCAGAAGCCAGGGCAGGCGAAGAACTGAGCACATTGTGGTGCATGGGAGATGGAGCCCTGGCTGTGAGCTAATGGGAACCTATGGTCACAGAGGCCTGTGGCTGTGCCAAGATGGAGGACGGAGGAAGGATCCCAGGCAGGACTGGAGCCTATAAACTGATCTTTCTCAGGCCCTTAGGAGAAGGAGCTGTTCTCCTACCCCTTGGAAGGTAGCTGTATGGTTGACTGATTGCGATTTTATTGTTAGACTATTTTAATATCCCCTGACTACCTTAGACAGACAAGCCACCAGTGAAATTATGCTAAGAAGGCACTAGCTCAAGCAAGTTCACATTCCAAAGGGTTGGGCAGAACACTTGGCAGGAGGCAGGGCCAAAGACCCTAACCTTTCAGGTCAGGGCTGGGAACAAATGTGCACATGCGAGTTATTGTTTTATCTTTATTGACACATAACATTTAGACACACTTATGGAGACGAGTGTGGCTCGTTCACTTGTCAGTGAAATAAAAACTCAAGCACCTACCCTCAAATCACAAAAAGTAAAAACACAACGATTTTCAATAACACCCAAATGTACAACAAATACAAAAATACAAAATTGAGCTATTTCAATATTTTCTTTCTTAATGCAAGATATGGTCTGTGTGCATGTGCGTGTGTGTGTGTGTGTGTGTGTGTGTGTGTGTGTTCAGCTGGCTTACTGTTGACTTACTTTAGAATACACTCATGAAACCATGCTAAATGACTTACAGACATGGTAGCAGGCTCCACAGCATGTTAAGATAGCATCAAAGTCCCCACTGTGCTGGATCCATAGCTCTTAGCGCAGCAGTTTTCAACCTGTGGGTCTCTACTTGTTAGGAGGTCCAATGACCCTTTCACAGGGGTGGCCGAAGACCATTGAAAAACACAGATACTTCCATTACGACTCATAACAGCAGTAAAATTGCTGTTATAAATTAACAGAATTAAAAATTAAGAGTCGTGAACTAGCAACAAAATTAAAAGTTATGAAGCAGCAGCAAAAATGATTTTATGGTTGTGAGTCACCACAACATAAGGAACTGTATTAAAAGGGTCACAGCATTAGGAAGGTTGAGAATCACTGTCGTAGGACAAGAGCTTACGTGGTTTTTTCTGATTTAAATGCTCTAATATAAGTCAGAACAGGCACTGTGGGAGACAATGGAGATTCCTCAAAAACTAAAAGTGTAAAAATGTAATTCAGCACTCTCACTCCTGGGTCTACATCCAAAAGAAATGCAATCAAGATCCTGCCCAGACTTCTTCACTTGGTCCTTCATTTTGCCTGAGATGGATAAAACCTAAGGGTTCATTCACCAATGACTGCATAGAGAAAATGTGCTGTCTATAGATTAGGTAGTACCCTTCAGCCATAAAAAAGGATGAAATCCTGTCTTTTGCAGTGACACCAATGAAACAGGAGGTCATTAAGTGAGTAAGCCAGGCACAGATAGAAAAATGCTACACCGTATCCTTTGTTTGTAGGATCCCCAAAACATTGATTTCAAAATAGATAAAGTGGAATGGTAGTTATCAGGGACTGGAAAATGCAACAGGGAAGGCTAGAAGACTTTAGACAAAGCTGCAAACAGCAGGAATAAATTTGAGTTGTCTATTTTACAGCAGAATGACTATAGCTACAATAATATGAATTTCAAACTAGTCAGTAAGGCTTTTGAGTGTTCTCCTCACAGAAAAATGGCAAAGGATGAGCACAGTCACTGTGCTACTGACTCAGATTTGATCACGATACACTGTATACATGATACTTTGGTCATTGATTTATTTCAAACTTCTCTTTTAAATATTTTAGGTGTGTGTGTGTGTGTGTGTGTGTGTGTGTGTGTGTGTGTGTAGGTTAGCAGATGATTTTCAGGAGTCAATTCTGCCCTTCAACCAAGGGTTCCCTATGAACGGAACTCAGCTACCCAGCCTTGCCCTGCAACTTCTCTTACCTCCTGAGCCATCCTGCTGGTCCTGTGACACTTGTTCAATGATCATTGCTTTCCTTCGTGAATGAAGACACAGTCTGTAGTGTTGGACATACTATGTAGCATTACGAAGTTCTGTTAATACTATTTGGGAGGACTGGAAATTAAACCCAGGACCTTGCTCCTGCGAAGCAAGTGCTTCCTGCTGACCCGCACTGGTAGATGCCTCGATTATAAATTAAATCTATTTGGCTTTTTCTTCTTGCAATTGAGGGTTTTTTTTTCAACCTTTAAAAAGTTTGAATCTTATTGATGGACATACATATTTACAATAAAGTTTATGTGATGAATAAATGCTTTATTTTCTTTCCTTAATCAGTTCTTTAAGATTATTTTAAATTTGCCTGTTTTGATGCTTTGGTTTCCAGAAAGGAAGGAAAGCTAATGTCAACAGTAATACCAGGAGCTATTTACAAACAACCTCTCTGTTCTCTTTCTTAGTCATGAGTCTTTTCCATTGAGCCACACGGCCAACCCTACTCCTTGAAATGTTAAAGGATAAATACAGGTTTACCCAAGTCCTGAAGAAATATTGGGCTTTTCTTCCCCCAAAACTACTTGGACCAATCACATGTTTATAGCTTGCTTTGTATTTATTGGTTTGGCAAAAGAAAGTACCGTTAAGGCTGGATGTGGTGGCTCACACCTTTAATTCCAGCACTTAGGAGGCAGAAGCAAGAAGATCTTCCTGAGTTTCAGTTTCAGGCCAGCCAGGGCTACAGAGTAAGAACATGTCAAAAAGGAAAAACACACACACACACACACAAAGCCTGACATATACACGATAATTAACAGCAAATTGTTTTAAAAACAGTTTGCAGAGGGCTAGAGAGAGAGCTCAAAGGGTAGGAGCACTGGATGCTCTTCTAGAGGATGAAGGTTCAATTCCCAGCACCTACATGGAAGCTCACGACCTTCTAGAACTCCAGTCCCAGGGGATCTAATGCTCTCTTATGGCCTCCTTGGGCACCAGACATGCACATGGTACACGGACTCATATCCAGGCAAAACAATGGCACACATGAAAGGCAGTTTACAATAATGTTTTTGTCTTTTACATTTCAGATTTAAAGATCACAAAAGAATAGCAGTCAATAGGAACAGTGGTAAAAATTAACATGACCAAGAATTCCTTACATTATACCTTTATCTCATGGATTAATGTTAGAAAACTGTGTCTAATGAAACAACAACACATGACCAATCTTTGTTTTATGAAAAGCATCCTGGCATGGTGGGATAATTGGAGTTAACCTCTACCTGAGTGGGTAGCCATTATCGTTTTAAGAGATCTGTAGCCATGAGGTTTTTTAAAAAATACTTTAGAAACATTTTAGTTTCATCAGATAGGCTTCTGTATGTTAAAATAAAAAGAATTATGATAGTAAAAAGATTTTGATAGTAAAAAAATGTATTTTACATAGTTATAATGCAACAGGAAGTGAGACTAGGAGAAAGAAAGTGAAAGAAGAGGGAGAAAGATTCCAAACAGATCATCATCTAAACAGAATCACTTGAGATATCCAAATATTGAGATATCGGCTCATGGCTGGATTAACTGATTTCTCATTTAATAATATTTGGTCATAGAAATTAAAGTAAAAGTCTAACAAACTGAAAAAAAAGAATTGGCTAAAAAAAAAAACAGCCTTCAAGAATATATTAAAATAGGTCTAGGAATATGTCTCAGGTGCTGGAGTGCTTTCCTAATATACAAGACCCTAGGTTAGATCCACAGCACCACATAAACTGCTCATGGTGACCCACGCCTGTAATCCCAGCACTTAGGAGGTAGAAGTAAGAAGATCAGAAGTTCAGTGTCATCCTTGGCTACATAATGAGCTGAGTACCAACCTGATTACATGAGACTGTCTGAAAATAAAAAAAAGTAACATGTAAAAAGGGACTGAAAGACAAAACAAATGAAAAGGAAAAGCACAGGAAACACAGTATGTTTGTTTTGTCCTATTCAGTTTTGTTTGTTTTTATTTTTATCTCATTTCATTATTTTTTCTTTTGAATGCCTGTTTTTTTTTTTTTTTATGAGAGAGAGCAAGAAAGAATGTGGATTTGGGTGGACAGGAAGGTGGGGAAGATCTGGGAAGAGTTGGGAGTCAGGCAACCATAACCAGAATGTATTGTATAAAAATAATCCATTTCAATTTTTTAAAAAAAGAGAGAAAGGATATATTAAAATGATGAACTCATGACTATACTATTTCGAATTTAACATATTTCACTCCATTTTATAACATTAAATTAAAGTGCAGAGCTGAATTTAAAAACATAACAGAATATAATACTTGGTCATAAAGAGGACCTATATGAATGGTAATTTTCATTCACTTGTAGGTTCATTTAGGTGCCCTTTATTCTACTTCATTATATTCATTTTATTTGATTTATTCTATTTAACAACTGAACAGGAAGTGATTTCCTATTGTGTAAAGCAACACACCATGCAGCTTCGGTGAGTCACAAGTGAATCTTTCCCTGTGCCCTAAAATCGTAAATGCTCATGCCCTGCTGATCCAAGGGACCAAACCAATTCCAAAAATGCATGCCCAGTACAGGATAGGCCTGGCTTCAGCTGCTTAGCTTCCTGCCCAGGGACCTTTCACAATGTATTTCTCCAGCTAACTGAATACCTTAGGGCTGTGGTTCTTCAGCTTGAGTGAACACTGGAATCTCTAGGGCCAGTAGCTATAAATACAGACCAGGAAGCACTACACAGAGAGACCTGGATTCAGGAAATTGGAAGTGGATGCCAGGAATGCATATTATTTTATCTGTGTTTAATA